TCATACACGTTTTTTAATCACAAAAAAAAACTACCTCATAAAATTATATATATGAAAGAAGAGGAGTTCTCTCCATCTATGCGACATGTGGCGGCTTATGTGATTGATCTGTGTCTACCAAAAAATTGGCTTTTGCACTTCTCAACCGTAATCCCTGAATAGCCTTTACGACCATTTACTTTCCAAATCTTTGATTTCAATTTCACGTTTTTCTTGTTGTCTATACAATTTCCTTTCGAATTAACGATGATAAAATATCAATCTAAAATTTTGGTCGAAACTTCTCTTCAAAAAACTTCCCCTTGCCAGATGTGTAGGACCGGAAGCCACCCCGGAGATTTCGCGCCAAGTTCGGTTTGTCCGATGAAGATGATTCTGAACTTTGTCAAGGAGTACAACGACGAAAAATATATAGTGGTGAGTTTGTACAAACTGCAATTAATTTGACAAGAGTGGTACAAAGAACTCTCATGACGAATTTGAATGGAATTGCTGCTCCGATGATAAAAAAAATGTTCTCCCCGGTGAAGCCTGAGAAATCTGTAACGTATCATTAATCAAGTTTTCTCGACTATAGGTTTGTTCGATTAGGGGTAATCAAATACCTGATATATGCAGATTTAATTCGTAGTGTATGGTCCTTTGTACGGGTGTTTGTGACAAGAGTTTGTTGGCCGTTGTGACAAGTAAGAATGCATTGGTAAAGAAAAATCATGCTTGAGAAGTGTGGCCAATAGTTTGGTGATCTTACGCTATGATGCTAAGTTATGTAAATTTTTAGATAATACCAGCTCAAGATGCTCTTCTATTATAACTCGATTTCTTGGTTCTGTTATGTAAGCCATTTTTAAACCTCATGGTTGAAGACTCTTACCGTGTCATGGGTTTATATAGTGGTTGTTTGTGAAATGAAATAGGGGATATGGGTACTCTTAATCTACATTTATTTCAATTCAAAAATCTTTCGGTCCAAAATAAAGATGTCATTGTTTCAATTTTGATGGACACACAAATCTCCTTACAGTTGATATACCATAGAAACAATAAACAAATTT